CCGGCCCACGCTGCGCCTGGGCTGGGACTGGTCCCGCCGGCGCAGGGTAGCAGGAAACTCTCCGCACACTCACCGGACCTGGGCTAGGACTCAATTATTATTTTTTAAAAGAGAAAGATTCTCTATTTAAAGGTGGTTAGAAACTTCTGAGATGAAGAACAAAGCTAACCCTAACAATACAGATATGCAAACTTGACAGTGAAATTTTAGATGAATCAACAGTGACATGCTTTTCTCATTATTGTTATTTAAGTCTTTGAATTTGGATTTTTCATAGTTCTTATCTGCGAGAATTCTCAAATTTAGAAGTTTTCATTGTAATAAGGAAAATATTTATCTTATACTAAATTTTATCACTCTGCTGAGTATCTTGGGAGGATAATTTTGAATTACTCATTGCATTTGCTAAGTTTTATTTTTCCTAATGAGTAATAATTGTCTTTGTTTACCTCACTAGTCTTCCTTTTTATAACAGTATATTTAAAGTTGTTTCTAAGACTGTAAATTTTTAACTCTTTTTTTTTTTTTTGTTGCGGAACCGGGGATTGAACTCAGGCCCTTGAGCTTGCCAAGCAAGCACTTATTCTACTGAGCCATCTCCCCGGACCCTATTTTAACTCTTATGGGTCATTTTTGCAAAAGCACAACTTTATAAAGTCACTTATGAAAAACCTACTTTGAAATTCCCCTCGCCCTGTCTGCATGCTCCAAAGATGATGCCTGATATTTAATTTTATATTGCTATGGCACGCAAGAGGCTTCCTCCCCTTCTCCTTATTCAAACGAAAGCTATACCCACACAGTGGATGGAACTCCGAACCTGTTTCCACAGCTAGAAATCTCTCGGGCAGTGACCAGGCCCCCGACCTTGTCTGGATATCTTCCGAGTCCTCCTTTCTGTTGCTTGGCATCTGGAAAGCAGTGCTGAGATTCGACAGCAGAAGCGCTCACACGTGGGTGCAAGCCTGGAGTGCTATACCACCAGCGTGCCTGCGTCTGACCACTGGGTTCGCCAAGAATGGATCTCTCGGTCGGATGCGCACAGCTCAAGGGTGGTCACTAAGGAGGCTGCTTAGGGGGCGACTCAGCAGTAATGAGAACAGAACGTGCACGAACTTGCTAGGAGAAAAAAAGAGTTGAGGTGCTCGTGGCAGACAGGACAGTGGAGGTGTGTTTGTAGTGGTACCCGAATGAACTTCCCTCAGACCTTCGACCTTCCTTCAGGCCATGACAGGTGTCCCCAGCTTGCGGTCCTTGAGCTTGTAGCCCAGAGGTAGGTGTGTCGGTAACTTTTAGGTTGTTATAACAAAATACCACAGACTAGGTCATGTGTAAAGAAGAGACATCTGTATCTGTTTTCACTCATGGTTCTTGAGTCTGGGACACCAAGCATCTGGTGAGGGCTTCATGCTGCCGGATAGCATAGTAGGGAAGTAAAAGAGTAAGGGGCCTGCGGCACAGTGCTGAGGCACAGCGTGTGAGCTTTACCGTGACCCATGTTCCGGAGGAGGGGTGACTCCTTCCAGGAAGGCTTGGATTTCCCTCAGGAAGTGATCGCCTCTGGATGCCTTTCCTCCCAGCTCCGACACACTGATGGCCAAACAAGAGACCCACAGGACTCTAGCTCTGTTCAAACACAGCAGTGAGGGAATCAAACATTTTTTTTTTATTACAACACTAAGCTAATGAATTGATACAGTTCAGAAAACATTGTTTTCCTCTTTCTAGTCATAGTTTTATAATAACTATATTAGTGCAAGCTTGACTTGTTTTAGAGTTATGGAGATTCAGGAAGTTCATGCACAGGTCAGGCTCCGCAAATCATTTAACACTTAACTCAGATTGTCAGGCCTGTAGAATTCAAGAGCATCCTCTTCAGATGAAGTGTAGTTTCTCAGGGCCTAGGAAAGCCTTGGATTACTTCATTAACATCTTTTAGATAATATTGAACTCATGAAAGACTTGGGTCACCACTGCCAACTGTTTCTATGCAAGGTGTTTCTCTGGCTCATTACTTTTGTTCTTATCAAATCTATCTATCTATCTATCTATCTATATCTATATCTATATCTATATCTATATCTATATCTATATCTATATCTATCTCCAGAGCTATTTTGAAAGAGTGTATCCTCCTCCTCCTCCTCCTCATCATCATCATCATGATTGTTTTATATGTACTTTAAAGGCATTTGCAGACTACTTGACTATACAGCACTGCAGTCAAAACAGGGGAAAAAAATCAGGAAATAGATGTTCTTGCGGGCAACTGCTCTGACTTTTAATACCAAGTTCTTTCAAAAGAAAAACCTTAGCAGGCATTTATCACTTAAGAGAAAAGCCATGGTCAATTGCATGACTGACGTGTGTGTGTGTGTGTGTGTGTGTGTGTGTGTACGTGTGCAAGCAATTTGATTTTAGGGATATTTGTAAAGTTATTTCAATGATACTATGCAGCCAGAATATATATCTTATAGTGGTGTATTAAAATAAATATCTTTAAATTTATTCAAGAATAAACTGATTAAGTGCTGAAGTGAAAGGATAACTGGAATGAAGATAGTAATAACGTTGAGTCGAATTTCTTACTCCAGCTAATAATAAAGACCAAAAATTCCTAGAAAGACAAATGCAAATGAATTCTAAAGAGTGAACATCACATTAAAAAAATAACCTTTAATTTCCTTCTCCCGTTAGCTGACAGTACTATGAATGACACTGAAATCCCCATGGAAACCACAGAGTGCCTTCAAGGGCAAGGAGAGGGATACCGGGGAACCATCAATACCATTTGGAATGGAATTCCATGCCAGCGCTGGGATTCGCAGCATCCGCACCAGCATGACATAACTCCTGAAAATTTCAAGTGCAAGTGAGTAATTGAGCCAAACATGATTGCTTCAGTGGGACTCAGAGGACATGAGCCAGAGTGTGACCTTTTACTGATTTTTGTGTTATAATCTTTAAATGACTGTGTGCTCAAATACAAACAGAGCTTTAAAGGGAGATTATTTATTTATTTGGAGATATTTGTTACGTGAGTCTGGGATTTGACCTCATGCTGGCATTTACATGTATTCTAAGTAATTCTGATTGAGAAGGTTGAAGAATTAGGCATTGGAAACCTCACCCTAGCTCTTTGCTGATCCCAGCTCTGCTCCTGAAGGTCAGTTCTTAAATCAGTCAGTGGTCACGATGACCATTCGTGCTGCAGACCAGTGCTTTCTTGCATTTTCTTATTAGCTTGGGGGAGGGATTGTGTAGCATTTTTCTCTTTACAGAAAACTACATCTTGATTTAAACAACTCTTCACACTGGCAAGTTTTCAGCTTTGAGCAGAATTCTTTTTACCATCTACATTAAGGTTTCCAATTATTATTGGAAGTGGGATGATGAGCAGAGAGGGAAAACAATTGTTCAGATGAGTCAAGTCGAAGAACCTGTCCTCCAGGGTCAGTTGTGTGCATGATATCAGGGCCTTCCCATGCTGTGCTTCCTTACCCACTGGCTTGCTTGGACTGACACACGTGTTTTTTGATTGCCCACCTTGTTAAGAGGAACATGTGTGTGAAAATTTATAACACACATGTCATTCAGAATGACTATGTTGAAATAGCACATGTAAGTAGCATATATTGGCTTTATGTAATTGGCTTTCAATGGCAGGCTTGAGCGCTAGGGGCCCATCCATGGATTTAGGAGGGGTGTGTGTGGGTGTGCACGCGCATGTGTGACCTACTTCAGTAATTTGTTTGTTTAAATAGTAAAAGTTCATATATTAGTATTTTCAAATTATTTCATTTATTTTTGGTACCAGGGGTCAAATTGCGGCACTTGTGTTTTCTAGGCAGGTGCTTATGCCACTGAGCTCTCCCACCAGCCCTTTCATTATTTTATAATACAAATATTTAAAGTTGTTAATCTGCTAATCTGGTTTTATTTCTGTCATAGAAATTCATTTTCTAGCCCTAACCCATGTATTTTATAACTTAGAGATAAATATTAGATCAAGGATAGCAAAGAAAAGAGAAGATTAATTAAAAGGGGCAGAGAAGACAGTATCAATGCCACTCAAACTTGTGTTAACATTTAATAAATGATAATAGACTAATAAAAGTTGCATAGGTGATAGGCCTCATGAATCAGATCTGTAAGAACAGGTCTCAACATGCAGTATCCCAGGATTCCAGCAGTAGGACTGTACTAATCTCAGCACTGTGAAGACGCAGGCCCTTCGTAGCAACATGTTTGTTCTTTTTTTTTAACTTTTAAAAATTATTTATTTATTTATTTATTTGGTATAGGGTCTCACTACACAGATCAGACTTGTGGTGATCCTCCTGTCCCAGGCTTGCAGGCACTGGGGGCGCATCACCACACTTGCAGTCTGTGGCCAGGGCGCGGCTCCGCGCGCCTGGGTGTGGGGCCCGCCCAGCAAGTGATGCCAGGGCTGGAACCTGGGTTCTTGTGCTTGCCAGGCAGGGATTTAGCTTGCTGAGCTATCTCTCAAACCCAACATGTCTGTTCTTAATAGGGACCTGCGAGAGAATTACTGTCGAAATCCAGATGGGGCTGAGTCACCCTGGTGTTTTACCACTGATCCAAACATCCGAGTTGGCTACTGCTCACAAATTCCAAAGTGCGACGTGTCACATGGACAAGGTAATCGCTGACTTATGGCAGTGGGGCAGGAGGCCTCCAGGGAGCACATGAACGATTGCACAGATCTCTTGTTGCATGGTTATTGCTGGCCAGCAGGAAGGTGACAGGCTGGATGCTGGCTTGCTCTTTTCCATTATTCACTCAGCGAGTATTGACTTGGTGACTTCCTTGAGTTCCAGGTATATTCTAGGCTCTGGGGATAGATCTGGGTACAAAATGAGGTGCTCTGCTCCCCTCCCTTGCTTCCTAGCAGATAGAACACACACCAACTGGGAGTGGTGGGTGAGAGCTTTTATGTGAATTTATGACAAGCGCTGCAGGGAAAATTGTGTGGAGCTGGAGTGGCAGGTTCTATTGTTTAACGCTGTCATGGGTGGGGAAGGTCTTATGTGCTAAGGTCACATGTGAGTGAGAGCAGAAGGAAGGGGGGAAAGAGACGCAATGTGTGCATGTGTAGGTGAAGAGCGTGCTCAGCGGAGAAGGCAATCTGCCCTGTGGCCCGCAGGCTGGGAGTGCAGCCTCAGGAGACCCTAAACTTAGGCACCATTTAGCTGTGTGTTTCATGACTCAGCTGCATGGTGGGTGTGCTATCTTCATGTAAGAGGATGCGATGCTGTGCAAGGAAAGGCGCAGGGCAGTGCTGACCCCGCCTCCCGCGGCTGCCACGTACCCTCAGTCTAGTGGGACGGCACGTGAATCAGATTCTACAAAACTTGTATGGCCAGGGATTAGAGTATTGAATTTGCAGAAGAGTATTTCAACTTCCCTACATGTGAATATGTGTGTGTGCGTGTTTGTGTGTGTGTGTGTGTGTGTGAGAGAGAGAGAGACAGAGACAGAGAGAGAGAGAGAGAGAGAGAGAGAGAGAGAGAGAGAGAGAAACACAGAGAGAGAGAAACAGAGAGGGACATAGACAGAAGAAACAGAGACAGGCAGAGAAAACAATCATCTTCTTGTTTCGTAGCAGACATTTAAGTTTTCCTATGTAATTATTAAACTTAAGCTTACGTTATTCAGCAAAATAATTTAATTACTTAAAATAGCTTTTCAGCAGCTTCAGTATAGGAAGTACAAATGTGTCAAATAGTGCTTTGCTCAGATGCTTCCATACTTACACACACAGTGCCACTAATACTAGAAGCGCTGTAGTAGTGCATTTGGAAAGGAAGCTTAGGTAATTATTGTTCATATGTGGCTCCCACCAGCCCTTGGCACTCCATCCAGGTTCAGGTGACCACGAAGGCTGGACACCCAGGAGGTGCAGGAAAATGCAGATGCCAGTGTGTTCCGTGAGAGAGAGTCTGAGAGTTGAAAGAGTAAGTGAGCACAAAGTCGTGGCTGGCACAAAGTGAGTGAGGGGTGAGGAGTCCCTGGGCACCTTTGCCTGGCCTTGGTAGACATTGCTAGGACACGCACACAGCTCTGAAGTAAAGGATGCTGGTGTGGGTCTGGGAGAAGTTATTTGATGGGTCTGGTTTTGGCTGTTCTCTCCAACTGCCTCATGTAAACTGGCCAGCGTTTTCCACAAAGGTCAAGACAAGAGGGCCGGCACAGTAGTTTGTCAATGTCTGCGTGGAGATGACCTGGTTCCAGGTGTTAGCAGGGGTGATAAACAGCGCTCCGCTTTGGAGAAAGTAATCAGCCTTGTAAACAAAGGCTCTTGACACTCTTTCAGAAAGTGGTAGGGATATGTGACTGAAATTAATTTTAAATACTTTGTAAGTGACTAATAATAGTGTTGAACACTGGACGTTTGCTGGTGGTTGATGGGTTGAGAATTGTATATTTAAGTGGTCATATACTTTTTACACAAACTTAAAAATGGTGGTCCTGGTCAGAGTCAGTCCTAAGGCCTCCCCAGAGCCACATGGAACCTGACAGCTCCACCTCCCAGACTCACCGGCCTGCATCAGCTTCTTCCCCTCCAACCTTCTCTCCAGTGGCTCAGCAGCAGGCAAGCCACAGACAGTGGCTACACCGGTGGGGCGTGAGTCCCTTTCAGCCCACAGTTCTGTCGTTGGTCAGAAAGCAGTGGTGGCTTGACAGCAGCGTGTTCCTCTGAGCCCATGTCTCAGTCATGACGAGAAGAGCTGTGACTAATTCACTGATGCAGGGAAAGCAGCTTTGTAAGCTTTGGGTGAGCACAGAGCTGTGTTGATGCACCGAGGTGCCACGTATCAGTGGACGGGACGACACAAGTGGATAGCACAGTATCCTGGCATTTAAGTAGTTACCACTTGCCTATTAAGTCATTCAATAATAGCTAAAAATAGTTTTATGCAATTTAATTAATTCCACCTAAATTCTCAAATCAGTATAGGATTCAATCTGATTCTCTTTATAATGACCTTTCCGTATTCCATGATTCTTGTCCCTTCAATTCACTCTGTAGTAGTTTGCCAAATGGTCATTCTTCCTGACGCTTTGCTCTTAGACGTGACAGAGCATGTCAGGTTCTGGTGGGCTCACCCGAGAAGATGGCACAGAGCCCCTGCTCACACCAGGCCTGCCGGCAAACTCAGCAGACAGCTGGGGAACACTCACCAGAGGCCACGCTGCTAGGGAGGCTGTGAGGTCCCCCCATCTGTTTAGCTTCTCTCTGGCACACAGAAGTTGGGGCCCACATACGCTTATGTGAAAAGATGTTGCCCTAACTACTCTCCGCAGGATGAAAACTGTGAATTTCATGGAGTTTGACAAATTGGAACTCATTTTCAAATTTCACAGCATCTAAATTAGAATGTCTACAGATGTTATTCCAATTGGATATTAAGTTTTCTATTCAAGAAAATAAAAACTGAGGTTGTAGACTTGATTGAAAGTGTTGATAAAACACTACTTAATAGATGATATGATACACTTAAGAAAATACACAGGAAGTAATTCTTAACTTTAAACATTTGAATTTCAAAATGATGAGCAAGTGAATGAATTCTCTGCTAGATGAGTAGATCTAAAAGTAAGCTATCCCGCAGAAAAGTATGAAAACAACAACAAAAAAAGTAAGCTAAATCAAACATGAGAAAGAAAATAGGTGAGGGGCCAGGGACATCGCTTAGCAACATAAGCCCCTGCGTAGCAAGCACAAGGTCCTGGGTTCTATCCCTGGTACCACAAGAAGGAGGAGGGGGAGGAAGAGCAGGAGGAGGAGAAGAAGAGGAAAGAAGGAAAGAAAGAAAGAAGGAAAGAAAGAAAGAAGGAAAGAAAGAAAGAAAATAGGTGAGATAAAGGGGGAAATATTAAGGTTGAGAAAAGAAAAGAACTAAATGATTAAACTATTAGTTATAAACTAATTTTAAACTTTAGAACTAAATGAAAAAACTAAATAAATAAATCAACTGCATGGTTTTAAAAAATGACGAAATAGTCTACAGACTGACTCAGGAGGATGCAACCATATATAAAAGACTAATTATTAGAGAATAACTGGCCAAAGAAAATTACAAGACATGCATATCATTTTATTTAACTTCATGTTAAAACTTTGAAAATGTAGTTGAAATACAGATGATGCAGAAAGCACAGGTGGATTCAGTCTAATGAAAGGAATGCAGATTTCTTCGAAGAGCTGTTTTCTCAAGCACACCCTGCTGCCAGGCGAACACTCACACCCTGCCTGCGCTCAGAACTGCGCTCTCCCACCACACTTACCAAACACAGTAAAATGTCCAGGTGTTTTTATTATGTAATATTCATATCAAATATGATATGGGTAACACAGCATAAAAGCAGCTGTCTTATCTTTGTAAAACTGTCTTATCTTTGAACATGTGTATCAACTTTAAATAATTTTAACAAAGAGTCTAAAAAAATTTTAAAAACACATAATGAGTAGAAAGAATTTAGTCTGAAAATTAAAAAGCATTTAAGTATTAGAAACTATTAACAAAGGTAGATGGAAGAAATTATGACAAATCACATTAAGTTCTGAAATTTGTATGACAGAGTTCACCCATTGCTTAAAAAGTATTCAGCTAAGTAAGAATTTATGTCCTTTACACAAATACACATAAACATCCATGCATACTCACTTACACATAGATGGACTTCATGAACATATATTGTCATATTTCAACAAAAAATATAGACATACAATACATTTGTAATAAATGTATTCTTATTACTGTCAAAATTATATCTACTGACTCTGTGAGCATTTAACATTATAAATGCAATTTGACAGTGTTTTACTTTTAAACATTTTGTTGAAGATACCATTCCAAGGAGCTAGACAAAAAGATATGTTGACTAGAAAAAAAAATGGGAAGGATCTCTCTACATATGACATAATAATATATCTAGAAGCCAGAGGTTGAGCAATAACATGTACTTTAAAATAAAAAATAAATAAATATGGAAATATCATTAGGATTTATATATAACTTTGTTAGTTAAAAGAGAACATGTCATTTATGCTACAAATAAAATTTAGGAAATAAAGGAATAAATTTAAAAATAAATGTATTAAATCTGCATAAGAAAAGTTTTAAGTCATTTAAAAGCCATAAAAGTATGAACATGTAGATAACTATCCTTTGCCCTTGATACTATAACTCAGTATCATAAATGTAGACTTTCTCCCTGAGCCAATGTTTAAGTTGTATGCAATGTTATGAACATTTTATTCTTTTAATTTTTTATTTTATTTTATTTTTTTAAAGTGGAGAAACTGTATTTCTTCTTTTTTTTTGGGTGGGGGAGGTTCTAGCAGGGTGTTCAGGGTCTTACTACTAGATTGGGCTTGTAGTGATGTGCCCGTTTACAGCCTCCCAAGAGCTGGGATTACAGGTGCCCACTACCGTGCCAAGTCTCAGTTGCCACCTCAGCGCCCTGGGGGCAGGCTAGCATGGCAGGCCTGGGGATTGAACCCCAGCTCCTGTGCCTGCTTGTAGGTGCTTTAATCCACTGAGCTATTTGGTAAGCCCTTTCTTCTTCTTTTTTTCTTTTTTCTTTCTTCTTTTTTATGGTACTGGGTATTAAACTCAAGACCTTATGCTTGC